ACAGAGACTTTTAATCTGCTATAAGCATGAATCACCGTTTTATTAAAAAAAGAACCAAAAAAAAAGAACAAAAACATTGAAAATACAGCTTTATACATGACAGCCATATGTACAGGATATAAAACAAAGACAAAAATAGATTGTTGCTGTTAATGAGACAGCACTGAGAGGGGAGATGATCCGATTAATTGTCGAAAGGCACCGGGGCTGCGTACGAAGAGCGCATCATGAAACCTATTGGTGATAAATTACTGGCAAGTAAGCATGGGAATGTTAAAGCTCTCAGGTTTAAGAGCAGATTTTACATTTAAAGTCTCCCATTACATTTGATCCATAACCGTGACAGCAGCTCAAGTATTTTAAAAACAGTCCTGGATGCAGCTCGACTCTCTCTTTTCCCAGCCCCGGTGACTTTCTCAGGCAGACGGATGGTTCTTCAGGCACCAGTTTGTGTTCAACATCCTCGGGGGGAGAAAAAAAATAAAAAAAATACTGGCTGAATCCAAATCTACCTTTAACTCCTTTATCCACAAACATTTTGGGAGATATGTCAACTTCTAAAGAGGAAGTTTTTGCCTCAATTCTGACCATTTTCATCTGAAAAAAAAAGGACTTTTATAACATGGATTTCAGCAGCATCAAGTGTGAAATGAAATGCCTTCAAGTTTAAGTTACAAAAAGAACTTCTCTTATCAAATTATACTTCAGGTCATATGTTAAAGAACGTATATTTGTATAATTTACATCATTATACAAATAAAAAGATACAGTTTTGAACAAATACTGTACACTCTACAGTAAAGCACTTTACTAGGACAACAAAAAAATACTATTAACAATAAGTTATATCATATCGACTTCAAGGGACTGTGATAAAAATATGTCTTAAAATGAACACAATTTAGAGACCAACTTTTAGTGGTCATTCTTTGTTTCGGAAAGCATGGTTTCCAAAGAAAAGCTCATTTGGTCAAGAAGGATCACAAATTAATATAATTAAATCATTATGCGAGATGTTTGCAACAAAGAAAAGACAAACAACAACAAATAAAACTGGCAGACCAAAAAAAGATCAGCACTCTAAAAACTGTACATGTAACAATTAAAATACATTAACATCTAAAAAGCACACAGATTGATTTGAAACTGACATGAAAAGGCAAAAACAACAACAACAAAAAAGAGCAAGCTACCCCAAACGAACAATACTATTAACATTTTAATATTAACAATTCTATCTTTAAAAAAAAAAAAAGAAAAAAAAAAGTAAAAATAAAATAAAAGTGATGGGAACTTAACAGACTAAGCTGCCAAGAACAAGTTTCAATTGAAACTAAACAAGGAACTGTCTTTTCACAAGAAAGTAAAAAGCAAAAATAAAAAAAGGTGATAAAAAGATATTTTAGTGGTGATGAAAGATGGACCCTTTTTCAGAGACGGACCCTCAGCTCCCAGATACCAAAAGTATCTGATAACGATGGACAGGTGCCACAAGTCAGTATATAAAATTAGATTATTTTTTCTTTTTGGGGGCATACTCTAGTTATTAAGAGGAGCCCTTTAAAAGATAACCTGTTGTGATTAATGAGCTTTTTAAGTGCACATTTACGGACCTCCTCAGATCTGCAGAAGTATGCAGACAGCTGCGGGTGGAAAAGTGCTATCCGGAAGTAGAAATTTGACTAGATTGTGTATTTAAAATATTTATTTAAAATAGTCCTTTACATGCCTGTGTTGTTTTGGAAAGATATGCAATAAAATATGGGTATTAAAGTATGTTCTGTAATAAGAACATACAGATGGGTTACATTCAGTTACAGTAAAGAGCTGTAATCTTTCCTTTGCAGGCTTTTACTTCAGTTTCTCAGTTTGCAGTTAAAAGCCTACTTAATTTAGCTGAAACAAAAAGGCCACAAAATGTCTGCAAATAACATTTAACTCAGATAAAAAGCATAACTGTAAGATCAGAGGCTAGTTTCATACAGTATCTGACGTGGTGGTGTACACATACTGTGTGGCTGATTTCTGGGAGTCGAGGTTGTCACAAGGGTGATAGTGTGTTAAAAAAAGCAAACTCTTACAGTCTGCAAAGCACGTACTTTTGCTCCACGCAGCGTCGACCGTGTGCTACTGACCGACCTGCACTGAAGCCCTGACAGACACTGTAAACCACACAGCTTCAGTGCTACCCTGTTTACCCACAAACATGTGTGATAAAACAACACCAGTACGCTGAACATGTCGAGGTAACTTCATCTCAAGTCATTCTGTTGGTGGCCCTCTGCTGTCGCACGATTTGAAGTCTAGCTCGAAAGGTCCGAGTGTCTTGACAATGGTGAACTCGCTGGCTCAAGTTGTAATTTATAGTAGCTCTTATTCGCCCCACAGTGGCTCCACACGCAGCCACGGCGCGCACATAACAGCCAGGAAGCAAAAGACGACAACAGCGAAAAACTAGTAACATTCATCCAGTTTCAGTTTTCAGTTAACGGAAATCACGACTTCATGATGAGCGCCGCGGCGCTCCGTGTTAGTTAGGTCCATTGAAAGCATGTGTTATAGGCAGGTAAATGTCTCCAGAGGGCTAAGGCTAAGTAGAAACAGATTAAAACAGACACAAGCGCCAGAAAGTGGCTCTGTCACAGTGTCTAGCCATCAAGTTAATCAGCCTCCGAGTCAGAGGTAAGATGTGTGTGGCGTTTTTCTTGCCTCTCCTCCCTATAAACCCAGGGCAGCGTTCCAAGCCGCCTACACTGCAACGTTTGGCTGCTGGTTGAACCAGGCAGCTAAAAAAAAATGCGTGTAGATGCTCTGCAACGCTCCCCAGGTCCATGTCAGTCAGTATCAGGGGCTGCTGCCTGCTTCCACGTCGCTGTCGTCGGGGGCGCCCTTGTAAATCGGGCTTTTGTTCTGCAGCGCAGGCTCGTATTTGCGCGGGGATGACCTGCTGGCAGCCTCACTGCTGTTCCTGATACCATAGAAGAAGTAGATGGCGAAACCTGGAGGAGAGAAGCAACAGAAAGTTATGAAACAGCTACAAAAATGTGGAGACATGAAATCATGAGTTTGTAAAGTTCGAACGCACCAATGACCATCCAGACTGTGAATCGGCACCACGTCCCCTTGTCCAGCTGCATCATGAGGTAGATGTTGACGAAAACACTGAACAGAGGCAACCAGGGGAGCAGAGGGACCTTGAGAGGATGGAGACGTTCAACATTTAAAACTCTGTCCGAGGCAGCGTCAGAACAACATGTGTGAAAACATGGTCGCAAATAAAAAGCAAGCAACTGAGACGGTAATAATGCTAAAACATTAGACAGAGGTAGAGAAACCGCTCAGTTGCACTCTCAGGGTTTGATAATTACCTTGAAGGTGAGCGCCTCTTTGCTCTCTGGCTGCCTGCAGATGATGACAACGCAGACGCCACAGAGTAGAGTCAAAATGACGCACGGCACCACAACGGCCGCGTGTCCGCTGAGCAGCTCGTTCAGATAGTTGGCCAGGATGACGCACAGTATGGTGATGAAAACCGCTGCAGACAGAGGATGAGGAAAAACTCACTCACGCATACAAATAACACACCAAATAACTTCTATGCTTTCAACGATGAGCGGCGTTTTCAGCCTCCTCCATGACACACTTACAGATAATAGCAGTCGTAGCGTAGACGATGTTCCCGGAGGTCTGTGTTGGGGTTTTCCCACTTGGGCAGAAGAGCAGCTTGCCGGAGAAGGTCTCTCGGAGCGGCCTCTCGTCCGTCTCCATGCCGTACTCGTCACCGCTGTCTACTCCGCTCACGGCCAGTTTCTCTCCTTCCACCAGCTCCACCAGCTTCTCTGTCTGACTGGACGAATTCAGAGTTCCTGGTTGATACCTACAGAGAGAAAGAGAAGAGGGATTATTGTACTGAGCAAACAGGAAAATGGCTTGAAATGCTGACTGCATACAAAGCGTAATAAAACATCTAATCACTCTTCTGCAGAAACAAACTTTTTCTAGTTTAATGCCGAAAGCGTGGGGCTTCTGTGACCCTTGTGCTTTAGCTCCATTCAGATTATGATATAACTGTGCTTTTAAACTAGTCTTGTGGGTACCTGCCAGTGGCATTGCAGCTCCTATCAGCTGCTGGTGACAATGTAATACGTCTTCAGAATAAAAGGTGTTTACCTGAGAATAAGGACACAGATGGCCACCAAAGAGTACGCCAGCAGAGTTCCTATGGACATGAGGTCAACCAGAGCTGCCAGGTCGAACAGGAAGGCCATCAGTGCTGTAGGGAGAAGCAAAACCAGAGTTTAGAGATCGTCACACTGTAAAGTTTGAAGCTGCAGAAAGTAACAGAGAGATGCTTTAGTTGGCTGTAGTGTTTGTACGGACAAGACCGCCCCCCCCTTCCCTGAAACATCCCAGTATCTGTTGTTGCAGTATTTTCCCAAAGTGTTATTGATCCTGAACCGACAGCCTGTCAGATAGGCTGTAAGGCAGAGCTGAGGCAGGAAACAGAGCTGTGACCCCAGCAAACTATCAACAACAACTCTTCAGATTTGACAGCGGGGGATCGACACCGCAAAAGCAGCCTTCTGGCCCAAAGACGTCGAGCAAACATGACGAGAAAGACACACGGAAAAAGACAAAGCACACAGCTCAGAGACAAAGGGTGTGTCGATCAAATAATTGCTACTCTCACTAGTTGGGACCGGAAATATTAGTCGGTTAAATTAATTATACATATTTTATTAATGTACAATGTCAGAAAATGCAGCCCTTCCTCTTCCAGCACTAATGCCTTGATGCTGTCGACAGGTAAAGTGAATCACTGGATAGATCCAAAGCGGTTTGGCAGCATTTCATGAAAACAAGGGTGTATGTAGGCCATGTCAAAATAAACTGGCACACAAGCACTTGACTAATGTACAGCACCTAACCCTAACACAGCACAGGTATGTGGAAGGTACCCTGCAAGGTGTTTAGCTGTTAGGTTCACTTCTGTTTAGTGAGCTGTTGTCAATCCATGCCGTCATTTTATTCATACAATATTTAACCCTATCAATAAATCGATTCTGTCTGTTTTCTGTATGTTTGTCATTTTTCTAAACTGAAATTTCCCTTCAACTAAATGAGAAAAGCTGTTATTGGAGGCTGCTATCTTACCTGCTACGATGCCAGAAGCAATGGTGGCCAGCAGAGGCGTCTTGGTGCGCTCGTTCATCCTGGACAGAGCACGAAACAGCAGCCCATCCTCCGCCATGGCGTAAATAACGCGAGGCATAGGGAACATAGAGCCCAGGAGGCTGAGGGGAGATCAGTGGTTAGCATCAGAATTAAGTAACGTAAAAGAAAATGTCACGGTAGAACAACTATTTTGGGTGTCCTCTTCCTCACCTGGTAGACAGAGCGCAGAGTGAACCGACGGCTACGATGTATCTGGCTGGAGCCCAGCCGACGTGGCTGAAGGCCTCGGGCAGAGGGCTCTGTGTGTTCAGCTGGTAGTACGGCATCATCAGAGTCAGAGCGGCGGAAACACCGAAGTAGGCGAAGAAACAGATGAGCAGGGAGGCCACGATGCCAACAGGTATGGAACGCATGGGATTCTTCGCTTCTTCGCCTGGAGGGAGAAAACAAAACGAGAGCAAGGTGAGCGGATCATATCAAAGCACTGCAGTATCTTTTTTTTTTTTTCAAACTGCACCTGAATGTCTTGACACAGCAGGTGACATCTCTTACATTTCACTCCAAGTTGCATAACAGTGCTGCACCTGCACAGTTCAAGCGTTAAGTCTGACATGGGCTTACAAAATACTGAACGAAAACCCAGTGTCAAAAGTACATTTCACAAATACTTGTGTGCGTGCCAAACTGAGACAAGCCTTCTATGGAAACATTGTCAGTCAGAGTAACTTGTCAAACATAAATAAAAAAACAAACCTTATAAAGAATGATGCTGATTGCGTGCATATTAAGTTTAGTGCGAACTGCAATTGTCAGATGTGGTTTACGTCAGTTTTTTTTTTTTGTTCATTTCAACCAAGAATCCGTCTGGTGTTTATGTGATTGCTGTGTTGAACACCTTCTGTACCTTGTTTATCAAGGAAATATTCAAACTACTCACTTGTTGTGGCGATGCAATCAAAACCCACAAACGCATAGAAGCAGGTGGCGGCACCAGACAAGACTCCAGTGAGGCCAAATGGAGAAAAACCACCCACGCCAAATTCTTCCTCCACTCTGAGTGACAGAAGAAGAAAAACACACAGTTTAATAAACCAACATAGATAAAACGGGAAAAACAAACAGTTCATTTACTGACAGAGGCAGATACTGACTTTAAAGTTTTGCTCATGTTGGTGCTGTTTATGTAGCTTCTGTAGTCGTCTTCAGTGAGGTTCCAGTTGGCTGTGTCCCCCTTAACAAAGCCAGAGATGATAACAAATCCCAGAACCACCAGGTTGATGCCTGTGAAGATCTTGTTGACCAGCGCCGACTCGCTCACGCCAAAGGCCAGAAGTCCTGAGAGTCAAAAGAGGAGGAAGAAGGTGAGAATGGGGAGGGAGAGGAGAGAAGATTCATATTCAGCATCAATAACAACATGTCCTGTTAAGTGGGTGGATGTACTTCATCACTTGCAAAAAAAAAAAAAAGTCAGCAACACCAATCATCCACCAATTATTTCCATCTAACACCGCTACTGGCATGTCACTTTAACTGCAGTATGAGTGTGACAACTGTTCTGGCTGTTATGCAGTAATCTGAACGCAACACTAACAACACTGGCATGAAATGAAGTGACCAATATGAGGGTCTAATTTTGAATTGAATTTAGGAAGTTTTTAGGGGTCATAAACTCAGTATTTCAACTGCATTTGTCAATTCTCTCCCACCATATTAATCATCTTGCCATTTCCTGTCAGGATCCTGTAATCCCTATAAATCGCACTATCCCCAGTTTGGGAAAAGCCAGTGAATAAGCTTCGCAAACTCACCAGTGAGCAGCAGGACCAGGATAAGTGCGAACAGGTCAGGATACTCTGCCAGCACCCCACCTGGCACCTTCATCGCCATGGAGGCTTTAAAGAAGCCAGAGATCTTTTGTTCAACCAGGCTGTCAAACGTTGAGCTCCAAGCCCTCGCCACACTGGCCGTACCTGAAAGCGAAGACAGACGTGGAGATGAGTCAACAATGTGGTGGCTGGAAATGACTCCTCTGCACGCTTTATAATCTTTGGGTTTTAGCTGTAACTGCAGCAACAAGCTCACCTATCACATATGAGAGGATGAGGTTCCATCCCGTGATGAAGGCCCAGATTTCTCCAACTGTCACGTAGCTGTAAAGGTACGCCGAGCCTGTTTTGGGGACGCGGGCGCCGAATTCGGCGTAGCACAGGCCAGCTAGCATGGATGACAGAGCGGCGATGAGGAAGCAGAGGACAATGGCGGGCCCGGCCTTCTCTCGGGCGACTTCACCAGCGAGGACGTAGACGCCAGCGCCCAGAGTGGAGCCCACTCCTAAGGCAATGAGGTCCAGGGTGGACAAGCATCGGGCGAATCGGGTTTCTTCGCCGGAACAGTCTAATGCGCGGCGACGAAGCAGGGTTTTGCCAAACTCGGACAGCTTGCTGGCCATATTTGCTGTGATAGTGTGCGTGGGCGCAGTACTAGGCTATGCGTTTTAAATCCTTCTAGTGTGGGTGTGTGTGATTGACAGAGCTTAAACAGAACACGTGTGACTGGACTGTGCAGAAGTAATTCAGGCAGATGGGGTAGGTAAATCAAGTACTTGTGTATCCTTGGTCCGTTGGTGTATGTGCGCTGACTTAGGCAACAGTGTCTTGAACACGCAGAACAGGAAGCGGCAGGTCTGTGGTCACAGTATTTTGCAGCAGCAGATTATGACCTATGAGGAAACAAAACAAGACTTCAAAACAAGGCGCTATTCAGCAGCAGCCAAAGCTTACATTTCTCACAACTTTCTGCTTGGCATTATGCACTGCGATTATGGCATCTTTTCTTTCCAGCAGTGACACTGTTCCAGGTAAGGTGTTCAAACTGAACCATGCGAAACACAGAAATGCTCTGAGAATATGTCAAATCTGGAGCACATACTTTCCCAGCTCAATAAACTGATATCATATGCAATGTCTCAGTGGGGATTAGGTGCATTTTAAGTGCGCACACACACAGGTAGCATCAGAGAGGTTGGAAATTTTCCTGGAAAATCCTTCAAAAAAAAAAAAAAAAAAGGTACAGATCATCAGTCAGTCAGCAGGTTTCAACAGACAATAAAGAGAAAAAAAGACATTTCACTGCATGGGAACTCGTATAAATACCAGTTACACAACTTCCAGGAATTCATACCTCCACCTTTTACGGCTTAGTAACACATCATGAGACGCAGTGGGGCACAGAGAGCCCTCGTGAAGACAAAAGAACACCCAATGCTCTCCTGCTAGGCTTAAATCCAGTCTTAACTTTGTCTTGACAAATAAACCTACCATCGAGCACACCCTTATTAAAACAAAAGCATACCTAGTCTAATTCCTCACCACTCCCTTACTGTGAAAAGACGGCGCTCCACTACTGGTGCTATGTTTTTTTTTGCACACAGGGGCAGATAGGGAGAAGCCTGGGAAACCCAGAGGCTGCAAAAGGACGATGGTTGGCCGAATTCAAGCTAATATCAACAAGGGAGAGGAGGACAGCGTGAGTCTGCAGTTCGATAAGGCCAAGCAGCTGCACTGGGTAAAGGGTTGATATGCAGATAAAATTCACTATAAACTATAAAAAGACTGAACCTTAGTCTATATAAAAATGCAGGAAAATGCCAATCATTTACCTATACAGTGAAATTATTACTGTAGTTTTTATGATGTTTATGAATTTATGTAATAAATAAGCCTTGTTTTACTGTAACCATACTGCATGTAAAAATGCTGTCTATTCCAATAACTTCACAAAATATTCTTGCACAAGTTTGTTTTTTTTGAAAATACAATTTTCCCAGAAACAAAACAGACCATGGCATTTTAAAATAAATTTATATGACGTTCAGCTCTCTGATTCTACAACGTCTGCCTTTTATCGCAACGTGAGGGCCTGCAATCAAAAATGACAACGTGACCCGGCATAAACTCATGGCAGGCCGAAGATGTGGTGCAAAGTTTCATTGATTATCACATGTGTTATCATCGATTTGAATAGCAGAGACAAAACTAGCTTCAAGGACAGCAGCAACACATTTTACGTCAGGGTGTTTCAAGTTAAGGGAAGAGTGAGTGATAATGACTACACCTGTTTCTGCAAAACACATGTGCACACACACATGCAAACAACTGATAACGGGCCAAGGACATGGCACATCTGACCAGGACAGATGCAATATTTTTCTGTTTGTCTCTGGAGGTGGTCAAATTCTGGGATGGTCAAAACACACAAGTGGGACTGACGTAAATCCCTGACTAAACGCAACATAAAAACAGGAATGTATACGAGTCAAACAACGCCTCAAGGTAATGTACTCAAAGCACAGGTGAAAGAACTATTTAGCTGTCCATGCACACAATGTACATAGTTAAAAAAAACACAAACACACCTCTTAGAAAAATGTTCAAACACAACTAGCACTTGGAGGCAGCAGGCTCTCTGATGCTCAGCTGCATTGCTTAGTGCCATTTAAGGCTTTGCAGGTGTCACATGAGACGTCGTAACATTTAAATGTAGTTACATAAGAGATTTTACTCCACTGAGCAGAGAGGAATCTTGGTGCTTAAAAACAAGTTAGACCAGTATTTACTCCAACTTCAGGAAATGCTAAACCCAGCTTTTGAGGCAATCTGTCCAATCATGCAGCTCCTGTTGAGATTAACACACATGAAAATACAATAGCTGATATACTGAGCCAAGACTCGCAGTGTTGCTCAAAAAATAAATAAAGTTGACTTGAAAACTTTTAGAAACTCAGCTGTCTATGAAGAGCAACGTTGAGCGCGATGCTTTGCACATCAAGAAGTGTGTGTGAATAAGTGAGTGTGACTGTCAGGAAGTAACAATTTGTCTTTGCTAGAGCGGCTCAGTGCATCGTGTTATCCTACTGTTGTCACGTTTTCTGCTGTATCGCTGGGATCACAGGGAAACTAATCGAAATTTACACGTAGAGTGTGCTTAGGTGCAAGCAATGACAGAAATGTATTTGATGAAACGCCTCCAGTATTTACAGTAATACTCTTTGGAATATACAAGTCAAGGCAAATCCATGCTGGAATGCAAAGGGCGCCGCAAGTTAACCTTGTCTGCAAATACTACACTATCTAATGACTACTACATCTATGGCCGTGTAACCATTAACAAGTCGGTAAAATGGACTATGACTATGGTTACCTAACATGCACGTTGGCATGTTAACATTACTCAGCCATCCTGAAAGTGCAGAAAATACAGTCAGCTGTTTAGCAAAAGACTAAAGGGACAATTAGGGAGTTTTGATTAGAAATCAAAAATGAATTAATAAATCCTCTCTGTTTTTAAGCTTTTTTATACAATAAAGTAAAAGAAACAACCCTGGATTTGATTGTACCATTTGCAGGTTTTCCAACAAGAGGCCTAAGGTCAGGATTTGGGAGACGGAGCGGCGTCAAAAGCGGCGCTGCACTGTTCGTCTCTGAGGCTATTAATGCAGCGACACCTGATTCCTTCCCATTTCAGACCTATCAGTCACTTCAGCGGTCAGTTAGCGAAGAGGAGAAGTGAAACACTAACCCGGCAGCACGAAACAGGCCGGCTGTACGACACAGTGTGTGAATGTCTGAGGCCGCTTGTCTGCTTGGATCAAAGATTAGGCAGAAATGTCCTTTCACAGTCATTAAATGTGTGAAATTGAGGATGACAGGGTGAAGATCGCCAACAGCAAGACAAGTTCTTTTTTGCTTGAACAGAATCTATTTTCTGTTGTGCAGTCAGGTTTTGGTCTTAATTTTTGTCCAGTTAGAACCTAATTAGGACACGGCTTCAAGCAGACAATGAAAACAAAAATCCCTTTTGTGCTTCAGGAACTTAATAAAACATGATTGTTGATGTTTTGTTTGTTTTTCACACGTTCAGGAGAAGTTCTCTGAATTCAGTTACATCCTTGCTCAGGAAGTACAGCTGTCACGATGATGACATTTTGTTGAACGGTCATTTGTCACGCAAATGATTGCAATTAACAATTCTTTTTTTCCTTTCTGGTAATTTTACGTCTCTGTTGGTTTCAGATTAGCGTCTTTGACCGCTGCCTTTGTGCTGCCTCTGAAGTTTGATGTTTCCTTTTTAAAACCAAAAATGTGCCAATAGCTTTGGCTTTACGGTGGAATTTCTGACGTTAATGTCAACAGATGTTCATCGAATCGCAGTACGTCAAATATAAAAAGTTGAGTGCCTCGAGACAAACAGCTGGTGTTGTTAAATCGTAGCAGAGGAAGACGGAACAAACTGTACAAAACAAGTAGGGGAAAAAAAAAAACGTGTAACTAGTGATTGAAATGTGACATTTCTGTTAGTTTCATCCATCTCATTTATTCAGGTTAATGGAAATGCTTCTAACAATTATGCACAGTGAGTGCAGTCAGCTCGATTAACTGTGATCCGGTGATTCAGCTTTCATGGGCGATTTGCTCAGACGCAAGAAACAAAAAAGTGACTCAGACAGACAGTAAAGTAGCTTTTAGGCAAACTGCGGCTACACCTGAAACCAACAGTGTCACGGAAATAAACTGGACTACAAGTAAAAGGATATCAAGAACTGCCACATGCACTCTAGAGTATTATGCAAAAGAAACAGTGGCTGAATGCTACCATAATCTCAAAAGGTTCACAAGTTCAGTTTATGCAAAGTTTAAGTTCAACATGAAACGTTTCAGCTGATGGCCTAATTTTGGACTTTTTTCATAGCACACAGGACACAAGCTCTCACAATGAAAATCTTCTATTAATACCACAAAAACAACATAACCTAATTATCAAAGCATTTCTAGTTGTACTATTTCAAAAGAGAATATCCTGTCTAGTACAGTTAAGTGTCGGGAGAAAAAAGACAAACACGGTCAAACAATGAAATACAAACAACACAGAGAGCACACGACAACCGCAATAACAAACATGCAGCCCTCTGAAGACTGATGGGAAACTGGTACATGGTGGAAATGCTCCCACTCCCCGTTTGGTGTGACATTCCAGTAGCATTTTCCACTCGTACACCAGGAACTGAGATCTGAGGGTGTCAATGTTGTGTCAGTAAACATTCATTACCAATCTACTGTGCCCAGCTGGCTGTGATCTCGTCAGGGGTTCACCCGACCAACGCACTGACCCTCACAACAGAAAGAAGCGCTTCACTGAAACTAGAGAGGCAAAAGAAAACAAAATATCGTAGTTTCTACTTTAAGGTTGCGAAACTGCACATCTGTGATCACAACTAAAGGTGGTGCCATTAAATCGAGACCACCTTAACCTCCGACGCAGCCTCCGTCACGTCAGCTAGTCGCTAATCTTTTCCTTGTGGTTTTCACGTGGCTGGTGTTTCTGTAAGTGGGGCAGATTTTTTTTTTTTTGGTCAGGTTTGCTAAAGAGGTGTGGCTCGAAAAATGTGCCATACGCAAGCACCACTAACCCACACACACCCATACGAGGAAGACTGGCGCGATACCTGCAGCCATTTTAGGTTCCTGCCATTTAAATGAATCCACAGGAATTTCACTGGGAAGCAAATACTAAGTGAGAATTTGATTACGGTGTTGTTGTCTCTTTGTTAACATCTATGTCTGAGCATATTCTTTTTTTTTTTTTTTAAACAAGGGACTAACTAAAAGGCTCTTTATTGTGGAGGACTATGACCAACCACTCGGGCCAACAGCGCTCCGGTTACAGCAGGCTTCAGGGATAAAGGTGCTGTTACTTGACTTAGCATTGCTGCAACTGCTGCCACGGACTGTAAGAGGATTATTTGGAGGAGTAGCAAACCTGCTAACCTCATTATAACTTGTTGCTGTTCGTTGTGCTATCCACATAAGCAGCGCATGGCTTTGTTTTGACTGTCACTGTTGACAACAACAATGCTCTCGGGTTAGAGAATTAGCCGACTGAATTTACTTCCGTTATACGATAATAACGTTACTAAATATTTAATTATCCATTGCAGAATGCGGACCTGCATTTCACCACCAAGTTGTTCACAAACCCACCCTTAAGAGAAAACAAAAACATGTAGATGAATTGTTTCACAAACTTTTCAGTTAACAGTCCAGATGTTGGTGTCAAATTCAGAAGTGGACAAAAAAGAGTTATTTATTTTTTTAAGAAATCTGCCACATCTTATTCTAGGAGCTAAACTCTTACTTCAAAAGGCACCATGTTACGCAGCTACTCAAATATTTGTCTGTACATGATGACTGCGCAAAATGAACGAGAAACAGAAAAGAAATACCAGAAAGGGAGATCCGGTAGCAAAAAGAAACGTCATGTCAATTGTGTGGAAATATTTCAGTGCACAAAAGTTCACATTCTTTGCATCGCAGAAGGACAAAATATTGTGTTGGAAGTTTTTAAAAAATCATACAGCCCCACAGTACAAAGATGCTTTGTGTGTGTGTGTGTGTGTGTACCTCAATAAATCCGTAAATCCAAAAATATATATTGTCCTGCTCTCAAAATGATATTTGTATTGTTTGTTTTGTTAACGGGGGAAAAAAAAAAAAACTGTTGGAAGTTCTAAAACCTAATACCCCTAAAGAAAACACTACTGTACCCTCATCTGTGGGGCCCAGCAGCTGAACAAAGGGAACAGCGTGCTCCATACCCTGCCGGGCTAAACATTCACTGGAAGAAGTAAATGTGACCTTGCATAACCCTGGAAGGCAAACCGCATCATTACTGACCATACAGAGTCAATGAACCATTCTTCGGACATCACAATTGTTTTCCAGGTGCTTGAAGTTCTGAACAGTATGTCTTTTGGAACCAGGAATAAACTGTATGTTTCCATGTATAAGGTATAGAACAGTTTTACGTAACGGCTGTGTGCCTTTTTCCTAATGGGGAGACGTTTGTGTGTGCGTGCGGGCAGGACCATGCGGACCGAGCGACCGCTGAGACTGAACTGAACGACCCTTTAAGTCACCTGGTTGGACAGAAGCACCCCTGCCAAAAACTGCCCTCGCTACGAAATGGAATGTGACAAAATGAGAACCTGTTCGCTTTCCCATGACTGAAGCCAGCCCCGTTAACAGCAACAGACACGATAGCAGCAGCACAAATCCATGCAGTATAAGAAAGGATAACCTGCCAGCTTGGCACATATGCATGCCAAGGTGTGGCCACTAAGCCGCAACACAGCATGGGTTGGAAAAGATGCAGAAAAGCTTGACCTAAGTGTATTTTTAAAGGATTTAACTATGCACTGACAATATTTCACCAACTCTGCATATTTTTCTGATGAAAAAACATAAACAAAAATTGAATTGCGGACAGTTGATACCAAAATGCACTACGATCACGTCAGACAAAGGCCCTCCGATGTACACTGGTGAAGGATGTGGTGCACGCCCTTCCTGTCAATAGACACACAGAACTCCCGCCTAACTTCACTGTCTCTCCATTTCACTTG